CTTCCTACATCAGAAGCATGTAGATAAACTTTTGCGTTAAAACTCCAGCTTTGCTTCTTCTTTTCAGCTCTCCAACTTCCTACCATTTATTCTACAACAGATAGGATGAGGTGGTTGATGATTCTGCTGCTGTGATATACACAATTAAAACACTTGATCAGTTATACAATTGTAATTATTTATTAGGGCTGGGTATCATTAAGAAGTCGCTGATACGATACATACCTCGATACATAGACCATGATACGATACATATCTCGCTGCAGTGCACTTTCGATTCGATACGATATATTTCAAAACGATTCGATATGGTTCAGTAAAAAAATAAAAGCTAAATCATGGCTGTGATACTAAAAGTTTTTGTTAAACCACTTCTTGTGCAAAGTGAATATGAAAAACGCCCATTTTAATCATCAGAACTGTAAATATGTCAACGAGATTCCTTCCACTAACCAAACAACAAAACTGTAGCACTGTAACAAAATAATTTAGCAAAATACACCAAAAAATACTCAATCAATACAGCAGCCCATGATACTGACACCGTATACTTCACATTAAACTATACAATATATCGATATTTCAATATTTTTGCACACCCCTATTATTTTTTATTATTATTTGATAACTTTATGTTGTACTAGATTATATTTTTACTAAAGCAGAAGTGTGAGTGAGAGTTCAAGACATGGGCTCTTCCACTGGCTTACTATTGTTTAACTGTTCCTGTCTGGATATTTATAAAACACAGTGTACAATAAGAGCGCTAAGGTTGCCATAGAGAGATCCCCTTTGTTGATATGGACGAATAATAAAAAGAATAACTGAAATCACAATGAACTCCTCTTTTTTTTTTTTACTCATTCAAAAATGTGTTAATTTATTTCCAAGGCAAATACAGCCTTGGTTTTGTGAGTTTTAGTGGTGTTTTCTCTTCAGGTGTGGCCTATCGTGCACTGTGGAGTGAAGCAAAGCAAAGCAAAGTTCAGTTATTTTTGTATAACTCTTGGCTCAACTTTCTTAGAACTCTCTAAGGAAAAGTAGAAATGTTATGAATTGTACACTGCAGTAATTACCAGGCATTTTTATTGAAGCTTGAGTCAGTTTCTATGTTTCTCAGTCTTTTAGAGGATCTGCATGTAAGATTTTGATTTTAAATGCTATGAACTTGACCTATTTGTGTCCCCATTCATGTAAGAAACTTGTTCGAATCATATATAGCTTTTACCTTTAAGAATTCTAATGCTGTTTTATTCTTAATCACAAAAACATTGGACACGATCTACTAATTTCTTTTTGTAGTTCTCAAGGCGATTATCCGTTCAGACTCATTGGCTTTGCCAGTTTCAGTGCTCAAATCCAGTTCATTTAAACCTAAAAGACTTTCTCTAATCTGAATTTTCACAACTAAACTCCAGCACCAGCATCATTAAGCAGTGCGAGTGTGGTCGCTGAGTGAATTTTGGAAGTTCTGAAGACTTGTGTGTACTCTATCTGCAGGTTTAGGAGTCCTTTTTTGACGGTCTGGCTTCGTACAGTTCCTTGAGATTGATTGAATCTGAAGTAACTGAACATAAATTTCATAAAGTGGCACTTCAAAAACTATACGCCTAAAAATACAATTTAGTGGGCAGTGAATCATCCCTATCACAACAATTTTATTCTGAGTAAGGCCAGGTCATGTCAGACGACTTGGAGCCAGTTCCCATGACTACACACTTAGTAACCATACTTGAGCCGTTTTTACATTCTTTATGGTGGTAGCTAAGGAAGTCACCAGATTACACAGGTTTGCATGTTCCCCGGTTGCTTATCACTCTTGTTGATATGGGATGTTACATAATCACATGTGACAAACATTGGGACAAGCGCCCTCTTATCCAGGCTGGGACTCATGTGAGAGCCCGGGTCACCTGCTGGAGTCTACAGTACTGGAAGTCTGTCATGGTGGAAATCCAAAACAAAATGGATGTTAACATATGTCAAATGCCATTTCTCTGATATGTGAGAAGGAGCTGAAGGTAAAGGTGGCATTAGGTGATGGATGAAATGAAATAACAGCCTTACAGTGACGCTCACATCTGTTGTGAGTTGCTTCTGTTTCAACATTCACATATCCAGGTCCTACCATAATTCATAGAACCTGGGTTACAAGTAGAATACACCGATCCAGCTTTTTCAGTTCCGATACCGATTTCAATACTATAGCTTTAAATATATGCCGATACTTGATATTAACCAATAGTATTTATTTCCTTTAAACAAAAATAAAAGAACACAAAACCGACCCAAATATGTCCCACAGACTCCAGCTCCAGATGAAGTTCATGGAGGCCGGCAGCTGCAGGAGACACTCTGGAGCCCAGGTCCATTTGAGTAACAGGGATTTGTCTCACTCGATTTTAAACAAAACTCAGAATCTCTCTTGGGTTTGAACAAACATTTATTTGGACAGGATGAGTCTTCAGCAGGTCCTCACAAATCACCCTCAGAGTGTCCACGCTCACTGTCAGGACAATGGGAAAGAAAATACAAAAACTCAACAAGGCCCTGTTTACATGAGACAGACTTTACACTTTACACTGGGTAAAAACGGCAAAATATTTGATGGGAAGTGCCTTTCGTTAAGACAGTGACGATGTTTTTGGGACTTAAAAATGCAAAAATCTGAAACCAGCCTCCAGAGTTTCCGTCTACACTGCCCAAAACGCAAAACTCTGGTCAGATGTGCTCAGGTCATGTTCGTGTTTACATCACAAACACACAGAACACACAAACCTGACATCATGTACACAATCCAACTCCACACACTTCTGCGTCCGTGTATGTCCCAAAAACTCTCGTCTTCTGTTCAGACCCTCGTCGTATAAACGTCGCCTGAAATGAACCTTCTGAAAATCTGCTCTGTCACATGTAAATAAAGTCAAAAAGAATAAATAAAACACACATTCACTAGACTCTAAAATACACTTTAATAGAAAGTACTTTTTTATTTAACCAATCGCTGCTGTTTGGTCGTGACCTATGTAATGCGCTGCTAACGGGGCTAACTGATATACTAAGCTTTTCCCCAATCCTGTAGGAAGAAGGGCAACAATGTCTTTCCCCTTGATAAAATTCACCAAACATTCTCTTTGTTCCGGCTTTAAATCCTCAATCTCAGGAATCATTGCCAACACAAAATGTATGTCTTCGTCTACATCCATCTCGACCGCTTTGTTTACTGTTGTGCTGTACCACAAAAGGGACCCAGACAGACGCTTGAGTTTGATGTCATGGCTTCACAGCTCTTCGCTGATTGGCCGGTGCGTGGTCTACAACTCCCAGGGTTCTTGCAACCAGTCTAGTGTATGCTGATTCCTGTCCTAGTCTCTGGATAGAAATGAAATTGAGCAGAGGCACTAAGTGGAGCCAACTTAGCTACTACAGAGCACCTTCAAGTTCAAACATGAATACATTTTCTGGGCCAAATGTGACCAGTAAATAGTCTTATTACATCAATTTATATGCCAAACTTGGATCACCTGAACCAATATGTGGAAGCTGATATTTGATTCTGTAAATTTTTCAATATCAGTGCTATTAAAATACCAGTACTGGATCTGTGCGTCCCTAGTTACAAGCACAACTTTTGTTTGCATTAACTTTGTATGAATATTCAATCGATGTTTGTGCTCCATAATATTGACTCTAACTCAGACTGTTCGCTTGACAAGTCAAATCAAAACACATACGGTATGTGCTAAAGCTTATTGATCAATGTCTGGGGAAAGTAAGCAAGTAAGTAGTAGAAAACTTTCAGGGCACACCAAGAAGCCGAAAATCAAATGTGCATCTTAAGTTCAAATGCTCTAACTAAACGGCAGTACTCTCAAAGAAGACTTGAGTGTTTTCAGTAACTCGCTGCTGGCTCAATCCTTGTTACCTTGACCTACTTCATCAGAGGTATAATACTCCCTACACCAGAAGCGCAATTGGATTGCACTAGACTGGAATGGACAACACTATCGCACGGTCTTGAGGGTTAATGTCTCCAGCTCCAATTCTCCGACTACTTCAGTTTATTCTATGACAGATAGACTGAGGTTGTTACATTGGCGTACTTCATCAGAGGTATAATACTCCCTACACCAGAAACATGACTGGATTGCATTAGACTGGAATGGACAACACTATCACACAGTCTTGAGAATGAACGTCTCCAGCTTGAAACTCTCTGGCTTCTTCAGTTTATTCTACAAAAGATTGACTGAGGTTGTTGCATTGGTGTACTTCATCAGAGGTATAATACTCCCTACACCAGAAGCATGACTGGATTGCACTAGACTGGGATGATTAATGTCTCCAGCTCTAACTCTCTAACTACTTCAGTTTATTCCACAACAGATAGGCTGAGGTGGCTGAAGGTTCTGCTGCTGTGAGGTACATGCTAGAAACTCTTAGTTATACAATTGTCATATTTTCGCTTTAAGTTGTACGCCAGTCTGCTTTTCCAAACCTTCCACTATTTTGCTAGTTTCTTCCAACTTCAAAGAGCCGCGCTATGTCTTTTATGTGGCGTATTACGTGTCTGGAGCTTGTATTTATGCCACCTCCATAATGGTAATCACAAGAAAAGCCTTTTCACTCTTTTTATCATTGTATTCTCAAAGCGTTGTCGGCATGAAATGGATGTGACCTCTGTGAATTGGTGCCGGTGGATCACGCTGACACACTTCTCAGGCAAGCACTCTTTCAGACACAAGACAAGGGTGCTGGAGAGGGCTAAGCAAAAAAAAAAAAAAGAAAAGAAAAAGAAAAAAATCTGATGAATAGAAAATCAAACAAAAGCACCAGATGGGCTCTCGGTAACTGCGGGGAACATAAAAAGAGGAAAAGATGGAAGGTTGGAGGGAGAGAGATCACCTTCTTCTCCGTGCTTCAAGTGTGCATATAGGGAGAAAAAGCACAGTTGTGAGGTGGGGCTATGGGTGGTGGGGGTGTGGCAATTCTGGATGAGTGTGTGTGTGTAAGTGTGTGTGTCTGCCTCTGTAAGCTGCCATGCGCTGTGCCATTGCAAGGAGAGACAAGCAGAGGATAGTAAAGTTAGCCCTCGAATAAAAAACATAAAAAAGTCTGTCAGTGAAACCAGCTGCTACCAAGGCAACTCCTTTCCCACAGGTTGTTCTTTGCTTCTGTCACTGTCTACAACACACTTCTCTCCAGCCAGCCAGCCAGCAAGATCCAACACTTCGCAAGGATGTGGAATCTGATACTTGGGGTCACCTTTTTTGGATTTCTAAGCTCATCCCTAGCCGAGATTCAAGGTAAGATTGTGTATATGCAGTGAGATTGAGTGAATGAGAGAGAAAAGGGGCTTGTTTGAGCAGATGCCGGTATAGCGTGCGCTCTGGCTCAGACGTCTGGCAGACAGCTCATATAGACACAAAGGAGTAGAGCCCCTGTTACTCACTGGCTGTCTCATGCTTTGGAGCACGCGGTAGACTTATTCATCCACATAGGCAGAGGAGGAAGCGCCATTGTGCGGTCTATAGCATCCAAAATGGGCAGATTTCTGTGTTCTTTTGTTGTCTGGCGTAACACTGCGAACTGTTACTCCCAGACTAGAATCAAACAGGTTCCCAAAAGAGTAGGAAAAAAAGCTACCCCGAGGCATTGTGTAAAAAGACAATTAGAATGACTGAATTTGACCTCCATTTGAAGAAAGTGAGTCCATTAATGACAAAAACAGGTTAGATATATAGTGTCTACCCCCCAGAGATTGAGCATGTGTTTCTCCACGAAGGCGTCCTTGGCACGGAGGAGTTGGAGAGCTTTGTGCCACTGTCTGTTTGGACGGGCTTGTTTATGGCTGGGAGTAATTGGTCACTGCTGGGGAGAAGGGTGCTATGTACTTGCTTTTGTGCTGTCTTGGGATCTGAAATATTTGGTTCGGAGGAATCTGAGGAGCTGTATCCATTTCAAGCTCAACATTTTGAAAGTGAAGTTATGGTTTGGGCAGCTTCTTCCATTGATCACTCATAAATCTGAATCAATAAACAGGACTAGACCATATATTCTGGTCTATGGGTGGTAAATATAGCGTCTTATGGATGCAATATTTTGTTGATACTGGACTTCATTGACAGGTCTACATTTGGTCACACTAAAATTTTGAATGATTTTTTTTTTCAGTCATGGATTTGCAGCATTGGTTTGGCGAAGCAGGCAGTGCAATGCGAGGCTAATGATGAAAAAAGAAGAAAAAAATGTTCTGAAAATGTTAAAAATCCCATTCTTCTGATACGATTGGTTGAGTCATTTGGTCTAGATACAAGGCCAGTGTTGTCAGTTTGTAGAAAGACACTGTGATCAATGATTAAACCTTACTCAGATGTTTAGTTTCACACTGTCTTACCCATTATCTGTGTGTGGCCCAAAGACAGAAAGTTCCTAAAATGAGTCAGATTTCAGACAGCCACATTTAAGAGCTTGCACTGTGGAAAGCAAAACATAAAAGCATTGCACTCATAGGTACGTGAGGTTTTATAGGTCTTGTTAGCTGTTATGATGTTCTCTTTTGCCAGCTTGTAAGAATGGTATAATAACACTAGTCTTTTATTGGTTCCCGAAGTGTCATTCACATTAGTTTTATGGCATAACAGTGTGATAAGAGGGTGTGTAGTTGCGGTCGCTTCTTTTAATGTTTTAATATGAAGCGCAAATTAGACCTTTCTTCTTTATTATCAAGCAGATGACTGATTTATTAACTCTCCATGCATGTACGTTGGACCTAACACTGAAAATCTGTGCCATTTTTGCTAAATTATTAATAAATTATTCTAAACTTATTGACCTTTTTCTTTATTTTCGCTACAGTTGGTTGCCAGTTCAATCCCGTGTCACTAAAAATGTGTATAATTTTCTTGTTTAGTTCATCAAGATTGTAACCATAAAGATTTTATCATCTGCCAGATAACATAAGATAAGAAACACAATGATTTTAAGTAGCATTTAACGACACAAACATTTTGAATGGACTTAGCGTAATCCCTTTCCCTTCTCTTGTACACACCCATGGAGGCTGGACGCTGTATACTTCCTGCTAGTGGTCTGACATTCAGGTCCTTGTTGCAGTCTACACCCCTCCTGTGTGTCCTGGGGGTCCGGTTTCAAGGTGAGGGAGCGGGGGGCCTCTTGGACGTACACTGGGCCCTTACAAAGAGGGCTTGTGCTGTACTGGGCCTATGCCACCTGACATTCTACCAGGCACGTGTTCATGTTCCTGCTCCTACTATACTAATCCAGCAACATGTGCACAAGTGAAGTGTAGTGGTCGAAAGGAACTAGAGGAGATATATAATTATACACGGTTATTGGTCCCAGTAGTGGTATCAGTATTGTAGTAGAAATATGTACTTGAAGCTACAAAGGCAACCCACTTTCATTCTGGTCCCAAGCCTGGAGAAAGTTGTAGCACGCGACAATTAAAGAGCCAATATTATCCAATTTTCTGATCTATGTAATTATGTTTCCTGACCAAAAACAATTATGGACTCAGTTTAACGCACAAATCCTGCATATTTAGGCTCTTCTCTCAAAGGGAAAACACTCTGCTCTACCTTATGACGTCATGTGGTAATACAGGAAGTGCTCCACTGTGTTTTTAAACTGCATGCACCTTCTTTAGAATTATTTAAATGATTTCAGCCCAGAAACTGCCAAACAAAAGATAAAATATAGCTGTTGACAAGAAAACTACTGCTACATGACGTCATAAAAAGGAACAGAGTGTTTTGAGACAGACTGATAGTAAATGATTACTCACACGTGTATTAATGGAACAAAACACGCATGTTGATTAGGTAACAGCATTATAACATGGCTTAAAACTCATAGGAGTCCTTTAAACCTCTAAATAAAAAAAAATAAAAATACAACTGCTGTAGACTGGCTTTCACAAAGGATGTGACTTGATGTAATCCGTTATGTTCTCAAATGAGATCAACTCATTTCTGTAGCTGTCAAACTGTAGCTGTGAACTGCCTTACCACAATACTTCACAATGTCAAGTCTTGCTTTATGATACAACAGTAGTATTTAAAGTGGATTAAACCATCAACCTTTGGGCCAGTGCAGAAACTCTTAATTTAACTTAGCTGCAGGTCGAATTATCAAGTATTAGTAGCCTTCATTAACAGTAAAAAAAATACGAATTACATGTTAGTATTAGTTAGGGATGTAACAATAACCGAAATATCGTGATATCGTCAAAAGTCTCAAAACAATACAAGTTTCTTTGCTTAAATGCATGGTTTTATTGTAGCAACATCTTATAAACATATGGAACTACATATCCCATGATTCATTTCAGTGCAAACAACGTGAAGAGATATGTTTTTTACTTGAATTCTTGGGATTATGGCGGAAATAATTCACACCAACATCTTGTCAAGGTATTTTAAAAGCAGAAACGTGTCCTATCTACAATTATACCAGCCTCTCCAAAATATCGCAAGAAAGATCGTACCGTGAGATGCATATCGTGATAATATCGAACCAAGAGATTTAGATATCGCAACATCCCTAGTATTAGTGTAGTAAAGAGATACTGTAACTTAATATTACTGTACTTTAGTAATGATAGCTCTATTTTTTTTATTTATCATACGTAAATTGACTTGATCCATATGAGTATTTTAATTACAATTCATATGTATTCTCCCGCTAACCAACGTAATCTTTGTCATGAAACTTTTATAATCCCTGCTGTTATATTATTCTGATTTTGTACATCAAATATTCATTGCCCAAACCGAGAATCTTCATGTAGCAGACACACCTGTTCTGAGACATGCTCTGACTGTGAAAAGCACACAAACTTTTATAAAAGGATTAAAGCAGATCATCAGTGCGGCTTTCACACATGCACGAATCAGAACAAAAGGATGATATCACCGGACATTCATTACACAGGAACAGACAAGTGTATTAGTCATTAGATTAAATCGATAGACCGTTAGCCCTTTGTATCCACAGGGCTGTTATGGGAGGATTAGAAACTGAAATCCATAATAGCATGTTAATAGTGATGTTTGAGACTTTTATGTACTTAAGTGCGATATAGACTGTGTGAGATACTGCACAGATACTCAGGAGCACAGGTGAAAGTAGTCGGGTATATTGTAATACTGTTAATTTCCAGTGAAACCTGAATAACAAATCCATAAATATTTGGAAATCTAAATGAATTCTATCACCTGACATTGTTTTTGTAACATTTAGATGCTTTTCCCAATGGCAACAAGACATGATATCCTGTAAAGTGTGCTGCCAATGGACACAGCAGCGTATGAGCTTGATTCATCAGCCAGTTTCATTTTGTGGAAACCGTCTGACCTCGCAGCATTAGGATTCGTTCGCTCGATAGTAGGCGGGTACTTTTTGTAATTTAACCAATTGCTGCTATTTGGTCGTGATGTATGTAATGTGCCACTAACGGGGCTAACTGTTATATTAAGCTTTTCCCAAATCCTGTAGGAAGAAGGACAATAACGTCTTTCCCCTTGATAAAATTCACCAAACATTCTCTTTGTTCCAGCTTTAAATCCTCGATCTCGGGAATCGTTGCCAACACAGAATGTATGGCTCTTCGCTGATTGGCTGGTGCCCAAACTCACACTTCCAGGATTTTTGTGAACCATCTAGTGTATTCCGATTCCTGAAGAGAGAAATGAAAGTGAGCGGAGGCACTAGGTGGCACCAGCCTGGCTAACAGCATATATGAAAGAAGTCCAAAATTAGTCGGACTGTAACCACAAATACCACCGTTATCCAAAAAAACGGTTAAATGAAACAGTGTTAAAGTAAGAAAATGACATTCAGTATTTAAAAGTAATCCCCAAAATTCTCAAATGCAGTTTTCCATGCAGTATAGAGCTTTGGTCTTCATTTTTGGTTTGTTTTTTTCAAACATTGTCCCACATTGGCGAGGAGAAATTCAATTTGTGAACTGGACAAAAGTTTATTTGGTCAAATATGTTTCACAGCTCATCCAAACTGCTTCTTCAGTTCTGGATTCTACCTGGACGACTGAGGGATTTTTCACACATTGTCCCACTTTAATACTTTTTAGTGATCTACTAAATGGCAAATGAACAAGAATAATAACTTACAAAAACAAACAAAAAAAACCTCCTAATTCAGTTAAGCTTCCTAAAATTGGCTGATGTTTCTGGAGTAGGTGGGGTGTTGAAATTTCATATACGCCAGAGAATATGCGTAACTTTATTGGGTTTTTGCTGCGGGAACATTGTATTATAAAAGC